AATACAGAGAGAATTGTTCAATATTTGTTGCAGAAAACTTCACTGATATCGTGAAAGACGAGAAGATATCTATCCAAGATGCTCATCGAACCCCAAATAAGGTAGATCCCAAGAGAAAGTCACTAAGACATAATCCAACTTGCCAAAACCAGAGATAAACAGAGAATTTTAAGAGCGGCTAGGGATAAATGAAAAGTCATCTACAAAGGAGAGTCAATAAGAATAATCGCGGACTACTCAGCAGAAACTATGCAGGCAAGAAGACAATGGGATGACATATATAAAGCCTTGAAGGGAAAACACTGCCAGCCAAGAATTATATACCCAGCAAAACTGTCTCTCAAGTGTGATGGCAAAATTAGGGCATTTCCAGATCAGAAGTTTAGGGAATTTGTAAAAACCAAACAAAAATTATAAGAAATACTAAAGACAATACCCAGTTAGAAAATCAATAACATCAGATAACAACCCAAGACTAGAACACAGCACAGAGTAACCAGTTATCAACCCAGATGGGGAAGTCGCAAAAATAAACCAAAGCTAAAACACTGAAAACAGGGAAACAGATGTCAATATGTAAAAGATGACAACATTAAAACAAAAAACAGGGACTTAAAAAATGTAGACATAGATTTTTCATATGGAGAGGAAGTCAAGACGATATAAAGAAATAAAAGACTGGCATCCGCTTAGAAAAATAGGGGTAAATATTAAGGTAACCACAAAGGAAACTCCAATCCTACAAGTCAAAATAAAAAACTAGAAAAATATAAAGACTCATCAAATACAAAGTCAACAACAATGAAAAAGATGAAAATACATAAAGAAAAATGACTCAGCACAGAAAATTAAGTGGAACAAAGAAACAGTGAACAACACCAAAGAAGACATCAAAATGACAACACTAAACTCATACCTATCGATAATTACACTGAATGTAAATGGACTAAATGCATCAATAAAGAGACAGAGAGTGGCAGATTGGATAAAAAAACATGATCCATCTATGTGCTGCCTACAAGAGACACACCTTACACTTAAAGACACAAAGGAGGGAACAAAATCTATCAAGCAAACAACACTCAAAAAACAGCAGGAGTGGCAATATTAATCACTGACAAAATAGACTTTAAAGTAAAATCCACCACAAAGGATAAGGAAGGACACTATATAATGATTAAAGGG